AACCATCTATAACTCCAGTTCCAGGGATCCCGACACCCTCCTCTGTCCTCCAAGGGCATTGCACAACATGAGTGCACTTATATACGTGCATCATTTACACTCATACACATAAAGTAAAAATAAATTTAAAAATTTTTTAAAACATACATTTGAAGAATTTAAAACATACTACTAAATAACTCAGGTCAAAGAGTAGATAATTATTTAAAATACTTGGAACTGAACAGTTACGTGTATATTATCTATCAAAATTTGGGGGCTGCAACTAAGGTAATACACAGGTGGACTCTAGCGATTTCTTTTGGTTTTTGAGACCAGGACTTTCCACATAGCACTGGGCTGCTTGATACTCACTGTGTAACCAGGAGACATCTTTACTTTTAGGTTAAAGGAGCAAATATTTGACCCAACAGGGAAGAATAAGATCTGAAAATCATGAAATAAATGTCAGACCAAACCGTCTAAAAGAACACTAGAATAATACAATTGTACAGAGCCGCCATCATGTGTTGTGGGACGCATAACTAAACCTAGATAAATAAGGTGTGGGCCACATGCCTGGACTCCCAGCCCTGAGGAAGCCTAGAGGAAGACAATGGAGAGCTCCAGGCTAGCCTGAGCTACATAGAGAGCTCTGTCTCCAAAAATAGTCTAAATTACTTATTTTTACTAAATGTGTATGAGTGTTTTGCCTACATGTATGTAAGTGCACCCATGTCTTGCAATACCCACAGAGATCAGAAGAGAGCTGGGCCCCCTAGAACTGGAGTTATGGATGGTTAGTCCCATGTAGGTGCTGGGAACCAAACCCAAGTCCTCCAGAAGAGCAGTCAGTGCTCTTAACCACTGAGCCATCTCTCCAGTCACCTCCAAAAATATTCTATATGTAGGTGAAATGGATAAATTCTTTCACAACTATACAAGCCTGTAACAAAAATTTGACTAAATAAGAGAGGGAAATGCTCAATAATTCTATAAAGCATAAAAGAAATTAATTTTTTTTCAAAACTAAAACACAAGGTTGGGTGTGGTGGTGCACGTCTTTAGTCCCAGCACTCAGAAGGCAGAGGCAGGAGGATCTCTGTGAGTTCAAGGCCAGCCTGGTCTACATATCAAGTTCCAGGCCAGCTGGTGCTATAGGGAGATGCTGTCTCAAAAAGACAAACACACACACACACACACACACACACACAAGAATTCCAGAGCAATAATAATCTTGATGTTGACCCCAAATAACTAAAGTACAAGAAAGGCCAATGTTATAAATGCATTCCAAGAAAATTACTAATACACAAACTTACCAATAGAATTTGTCATAACCTCAGAAAGTCAAACATAGTCTAACATTAGAAGTCTCTTAATATAATTCACAAATTGCTTGATTAAGGGATAAAAAATATTAACTCAAAGCCAGGCATCATGGTGCACACCTTTGATTCCAGTACTTGGGACACAAAGGAAGGCAATTTCTAGAGATCAAGATCAGCCTAGTCTACACAGTGAGTTCCAGGCCAGCTGGGACCACAGCTCAATAGATACAGAAGAAGCCTTGTTAAAAATCCTCACCAGTTTAGACATAAAGGGAACTCCCTGACCTAACTAAGGCTGTCTCCCTTTAAACCACAGTGAACATCATTACAGCTGCCCTTGTCACAGAAAGACACTCACTGAAAGTCAAGAACATGCGCTTACCATCACCACTTCTATTTAGCATTGTAGTAGAAATCCTAGCAAGTACAGTGACACTGGAAAGAGATGCAAAAGACTCACAACTAAGTAAAGAAAGGGCATATCCATTAGTCACAGATTATGGAACTGTCTATGATAACCCAGGATCTATAACCATTAGAATGGCCAGGAGTGCAGCTCAGTTAGTGGAGAGCTTCCCTAGCCCTGGGTTCAAACCCCAGCACCACATAAACTGGTTATGGTAACAGAGACCATAAGAGACCAACAGATTCCAGGAGGATTAAAAGGTCAAGGTTATCCTTGGCAACATAGCAAGTTCAAAGCCAACAGGTGGAACATTGAGACCTGCTCTCTCTCTCAAAAAAAAAACCAAAAAAACAAAAACGGGCTTTTTATGCTGTTTCCTCAGTGGCACCTTTTCCTTTCTTTTTTCTTTTTTATTATTTTTATTTTTTGTGTGTATGAGTATATGGCCTGCATGTTTGTAAGTCCACCCATGCCATGCAATGCCCACAGAGGTGAGGAGAGGGCGTCAGATCCCCTGGAGCTAGAATTACAGATGCCAGGAAATTACAAACAGTTGCTAGCCACCACGTGGGTGCTGGGAATGGAGCCCGGGTCCTGTGCAGGAGCAGCCCCTGAGCCGTCTCTCCCGCCCCACCTTTTCCTTTCTTAATGAGCTATTTTGGTTCCACATCTAACTTAGAAGGCATGATTTTTCCTCCATCACTTCTCCTGGCGGCTGCCAGGATTTTACCTAACCTGTATTATGTTTTCTCTTAAACACTAGTAAAATTGTCCTTGAACTTCCTTTTGGGAAAAAAAAAAAAAAAAAACAACCAATTCCATTGGAATAAACAGTTTAGTTAAGTAGCCAGGTAGTATAAGATCAATACATTAAAAAAAATCTGTTTGGGGCTAGAGAGATGGCTCAGTGGTTAAGAGCACTGACTTCTCTTGCAGAGGACCCAGGTTCATTCCCCAGCACCCACATGGTGGCTAACAACTGTCTGTAATTCCAGTTCCAGGGGATCCGACAGCCTCTTCTGACCTCCGTGGGCATTGCATGACACAGATGCACCTACATACATGCAACAAATACACCCATACACATTAAATTTAAAAATATTTTAAGCATAAAATAAAAATCTCTTTCATTTCTACGTACCAGTAAAAATTAGAGAATGTAATTTTAAAAGTTAGGGGCTGAGAATGTACCTCAGTGACAGAACACCTCCCTGCTTGTGTAGAGCCCTGCATCAGAGCCCTAGCAAAATAAAATAAGTAAAATAAATTTAGTCACATGCCATACATACAAGTACAAATTTAGTCACATGCCACACATACATACAAGTACAAATTTAGTCACATGCTGTACATACACTAGGGAGGATGCAAAGAAATTGAAACTTTTTTTTTTTTGTCTTTTTGAGACAGGGTCTCCCCTGTAGCCCCAGCTGTCCTGGAGATCACTATGTCAACCAGGCTGGCCTCAAACTCACTGAGATCCGCCTGCTCTGTCTCCTGAGTGCTGGGATTAAAGATATGCGCCACCAAGCCCAGCAAAAATTGGACCTTTATATATCGCTGGCAGAAATATGAAATGTCATGGCTGCTTTGGAACACAGTTTAGAAGTTCCTCAAAAAGCAGTTGAACTTCATGGTGTTTACTAGAGAGAAATAAATCCACAGATCACATGAGAGTCTATACACAAATGTTTATAGCAGCGTAATATGTAATAGCGAAAATGTAAGAGGCATGCTAAGGGTCCATCAACTGATAAACAGGTAAAGTACAGAGTATTTGTTATTTATTTGTTGAGAAAGGATCTTACTACGCAGCCCTGGCTGGCCTGAAACTGCATAGTCTCCCAGAGATCTGCCTGCCTCTGCCTCCCAAGTACTAGGATTAAAATTGTGCACTACCATGCCCAATTTATTTATTTAGTTTTTGGTATATTTAGATAATGGAATATTACTGAGCTATGCAAAGGAATAAAATGTTGATACATTATACTACATAAACAAGACAGAAAAGGCAATATGTTCTATGATTCCATTTGAATAATGAATTGTCTCAAATGGGCAAGTCATAGAGTAGCTGAGTGGTCAGCAGCTAGAGGGGATTACGAAAATAGTGACTTTACGATACAGAGATAACGTCTTATTTAATTATTGACTCCAGTATTTAGTAAAGAAGTCCATTGAACACCAATATTTTATTTATTTAATGTTTTAGAAATCATTCTCTTTTTAAAATGGAGGATCTTATGCAGCCCAGACTAGCCTTGAACTCACTATGTAGCTGAAGATATCTTTGAGCTTATGATCCTTCTGCCTTTCCCTTCCATGTGCTGGAATCACAAGCATGTGTCACCATGCCTGGCTTATACAATGTGAAGACTGAACCCAGGGCTTTGTGCACACTAGGCATTCTGCCAAATGTGCTGCACCCCACACACCCCACCCCCTTTTTGAGTCAGAATCTCTGTGGCTCAGGCTAGCCTTAAACACATGGCAATCCTCCTGCCTTAGCCTCTGGAGTTCTGGAATTACATGCATGAGTTACCACATCTGACCTAGGCACCAACCTTTTAAATCGCTGTGTTGTGAGGTAGTTCACCAGAGAAGACCATTCAGTGTTTTCCCAAATCAAAGTTGTTGCTGGCCAGGGCTACTACACAAGGGTGTCAGAATCCCAGTGTGTAGCCCTGAGCCATCTCTAGGGTAAACTTTTATACAGAGAAAATGTAACCAGGGGTGAAAAGTTTAAGTTCCCAAGCTTACAGGTGCAAAGCCCCCTTAACAATTTCTATTCTATTAACTAACAATTACTATTTTGCAGAAGCAAGCCAAGCATAACATACAGAAGCCATAAATCTGCAGTTAGCAGGTGCACTTCAGGACACACTGACCTGTTCCCAAAACACCTGGGACCTGCTGATGTGTGTTCCCGTACCCTAGGCCAACTGCCTGATAATTTCAAAGACTACAGTCAGACTAAACTTTAACACGGAGTAGCTGTAGTCAAGGGGGTGCCCTATTACAGCTGTAAAAGTGCCTGTGTCATTCAACAACTTAATGGGTTTTTGTTCCATTGTTCTTTTGCGGGTTTTTTGTTTTGTTTTGTTTTATGTCTCTCTTTTTGTCTTTTTGAGACAGGGTCTGCCTGTAGCCCCAGCTGTCCTGGAACTCACTATGTAGACCAGGCTGGCCTTGAACTCACAGAGATCCGCCTGCCTCTGCCTCCCAAGTGCTGGGACTACAGGCATGTGCCACCACACCCAGCCTAGTTCCATTGTTCTTAACAGGCAATGGCACACACATCTTACAGGAAGCAAAAGTACACTTCATTTCTCGAGAACTTTGTAATTCCAAGATGAGTTATGGAGGAGCAGTCCCTAATACTTCATTCTGTGCAGGTGATGAAGATGGAGCCTTTGATACTTGTAGGGTAAGACCAAAACCTTTTCTTTTAAGATACCTTCTAAAGCCAGAAAGGAAGTTGAAAAAGGCCTTAATAGTCTGGTGATCATAATTATCAGACCTAAATACCAAATTCTTGTCCTTTTTCCACAACTGACTGATTTCTTGGGTTTTGTTTTTGTTTTTGTTTTTTTGTTTGTTTAGTCGTTTTGTGAGACAGGGTCTCCCTGTAGCCCCAGCTGGTCTGGAACTTGCTATGTAGACCAGGCTGGCCTTGAATTCATAGAGATCCACCTACCTCTACCAGGACTAAAGGTGTGCACCACCATACTCAGCAGTTACAGCCATTGTTTTGAGTTTGTGGCTTTGTATGCAATCCCTATGATTAATGAAGAGAACCTAAGCATTGTCTACCAGCCATTTGTATGTCTTCTTAATATATTTAATTTAATTTAATTTTTGTGTGTATATGAGTGTATTGCTTGCATGTGTATAAGTGCACCCATGTCCTGCATTGCCCAGAAGTTCAGAAGAGGGCATCTGATTCCCCCAGAACTAGTTACAGACAGCTGTTAGCCACCATGTGGGTGCTGGGAATTGAACCCAGGTCCTCTGCAAGAGCAGCCAGTGCTCCTAACTGCTGCATCATCACTGTAGCCGTATATCTTCTTTAGAGAATGTGTATCATGACTCATTCTCTGTTTTTAAATTGAGTTAACATTATTGAGATGTAAACATTGTTTAATCTTTTATTATATTTATTGTGGGGGGGCACGTGTGCGACATGGCTTATGTGTGGAGGTCAGAGGACAACTTGAAGGAGTTGGTTCTCTCTTCCACCATACTGGTCCCAGTGATCAAACTCAGGTCATCAGGCTTGGCAGCAGGTACCTTTGTCCTCCGAACCATCTCACCAGCTCCAGCCTTTTCAGCAGATTCTGAATATTTGGTGTGCAAATATTTTCTCCCATTCTGTGGACCATGTCTTATTGTTGCTGCTGCCGTTTGGCTGTTTTGTGGTGGTTTTGTTTGGTTGGTTTTGGAGGAGTAAAACTCAGGGCCTTCTACATGTTTAGCAAGGTTCTACCACTGAGCCACATTCCTAGCTTGTTTTGTATTATTTGTTGTGGGGTATTGTTTTGTTTTGAGATAAATTCTCATTATGTAGACCTGACTGGCCTTGAGCTCTCAGAGATCTGCCTGCCTTTGCCTCTTGAGTGCTGGGATTAAAGGCATGTGCCACCATCCCTAGCTCATGAACTACTTTTTAGATTTTATCATTTTTACATAAAAGTTTCTATTTAAAAAAAAAAATATTTTATTGTTTTTATTTTATGTGAATGAGTGTGTTGCCTGCATGTATGTGCAACTGTGTTGTGCAATGCCACAGAGGTCAGAAGAGGATGTCAGATCCCCTGGAACTGGAGTTAGGATAGGTGTTGGTCCCTATGTGGGTGCTGGGATTTGAACCTGGGTTTTCTACAAGAGCAGTTGGTACTCTTAGCTGCTGAGCCATCTCCAGCCCAAGTTTCTGATTTTTATGAAATCCAATTTCTTTTTGTGTTATCTCTGATAGCTTTTTTCTTTCCACGGTGGAGACTAACCCTCCAGGTGCTGAGTGCACGCTGTACCGCAAGCTGAGTGCTAACCCCTCTTGAGCTTCTAGACTTCGTGCTCATTTACGACTGCACTCGCCAGCCCTGCACTGCAAATCCTCTGTACTCATCATTTCCTTTGCATTCCTACATCTCCAATCTGAAGTTTGTTTCCTGTATTTTCCTTAAAAAATCTTGATAAATGAAACAGCAAAAAATTCAGTCCAAATGAATTGCTTTCCTAGAAAAAACAACAAAATTTATTCAGTAGTCAGTGGGGGAAAAAATCCCTAACTTTTGAGGCTTGAAATAATGACCTCAGGGTACATTATTATTAGCCATTCTTGCCAACAGTTCTGGGCACATTAGTCTTGTATAATGAAGAAGCTAGTTGTTTATAAGTGCATCACAGCCTTCCATTTATTCTCTTTCCTGCACTAGCCTATTTCAGCACTTGACAGTGTACCCATCCTCTCCAGCCAGCAAATGGAGCAAATACCTGAAACCATCTTCCTCACATCTTAAACATTATACCTCTCACACACAGCAGTCAAGCAAGTAAATAATTCTAATGAACAATTTCCACAATATTTTGTATACTTCCTAAATTTCATTTCTTCTCAGAACTGTAAAAATCCAAACAATTTCATCTATAGTGTTCTGGTTCACAACTATGCAGAAAAGTTTATCCACCTTCTGTGTGGGTCTCCAGACCCACAGGTGGAACCTCCTGTGTAAGTGGGACTACTAGACTAAAAGTTTACTGATTTTTATAGTAATGTGTTAGGGGCATATCACCAGCTTGTCTGGCCTGGGAACCTCCCTGGCAAAATGTTCCCTGTACTTCTTCCCCACACTTCAGTTTGCTATTAAAGTGTAGCTAGCTACAATGGAAATGAATATTTAGATAAATGTATGATTGATGTAATTAATTTATGGTAGCTCTATTGTTGCATAAAGAATAATGAATACTATTTGGGGGCTTTCTTGATAGGGTGATAGTGGTGGACCATTAATGTGCTACTTACCAGAATTCAGAAGATTTTTTGTAATGGGAATTACCAGTTTTGGACATGGCTGTGGTCGAAGACATTTTCCTGGTATCTACAGTGGGCCATCTTTCTTCCAAAAGTGGCTGACAGACCACTTCTCCCAAGGAAGCACTAAAGGCATGTTTAATATGCACATCTTGTTTGGGCAGATCTTCATGGCTTTCAGTTCCATTTTCTTACTAGGAACAGCATAAGGAAATTGTGAAGATGCAGTCTGTCTTTTTCACTCTGCCCCATCTATGTTCTGCACGATGAAAATCATCCTTTCAGTTACTCACTTTAGAGTTTTCATGTGAGCTTTTTTTGGAACAAAAAGGACTGTGGCAGCTCTAAAGCTGTAAATTTGGCCAAATTGCACACCTCCTTGTTAGAGCTTGATTGTTTTGTTGTATAATCATACTTCTGTTTTGGAATACTCTCCTGAAGTTTATATAAAATATTCAGTTAAGTATGTACTTTATATGTATAAATGACAATAAACTGTATAGTTGAATTTTTCTTTCACTAAACTAATTAAAACTCATTTTAATTCAGATTTTATTTTGCTTACTTATTAGTTTGGTATGGTAGCAGAGGCCTCATTATGGTTACTTGTTCCACTGCTTCTGGGTCTGTGATGAGGCAGAGCATCATGGTGGAGAGGGTGTGGTGGGCAAAGCTGCTCACCTCAGAATGCCAGGAGCAGAGGGAGCTAAAGCACTTTATTAAGTGATAATAAGATTTCATTTCCTTTGTCAAGAGAAAAAAAAAAGCATAGATATCTGAAAATCACTTTCTGTGTGATTTTGCTTTTTTTGAATGTGTGTTTTTGGTATTTTGTTTTGTTTTTTGAGACAAGGTCTCCCTGTAGCCCCAGCTGGCCTGGAAGCTGTAGACCAGCCTTTCCTCAATATCACAGAGATCCACCTGCCTCTGCCTCCCAAGTGATGGGATTAAAGGCATGTGCCACCATGCCTGGCTTTGAATGTGTTTTGAGATGAGGTCTGACTGTATAGCCCAGGCTAGCCTCGAATTTAAAATCCTCCTGCCTCAGCCTCCTTCATGATAGGATAGTAGTTTCAAGCACCAGGCCTAATTAAATATTTTCAAAGTACAAAGTTGGTCCTGGTGGCATATGCCTTTAATCCCAGCAAGCCAGAGGCAGAGCAGGCATATCTCTGTGAGTTCAAGGCCAGCCTGGGGATACAGGGAAACCCTGTCTTAAAAAGACCAAAAAAAAAAAATTACAGAAGAGCAGAAAGAAAACTATTCATAACTTTGTTATAAGATAGCTTCTAGGAAATCCCCTTTTTTATTTGCTATAATTATTTTTTCAAACTCTTGCCAAGCATTATTTCACCCCAGCCACTTTTAAAACTTTAAAGTTGAAAATAATAATACTGTGATTCTCTTGATCTATTTCACTTTTATTCTCCAAATAAAAAAAATCATGCTCTCAGCTTCTCCTTATAAACACAATACACACACACACACACACACACACACACACACACACACACACTTCTTAATTTTGGTTGGACAAGTACTTGTTGTGCAAGCATGAAGACCTAAGTTCAGAGCCACAACACTCAATGAAAGCCTGGTGAGGGCAGTACCCATCCATGCTTTTAGCACTGGAGAGACTGAAATGAGAGGATACTTAGATCCTTGGAACTCTGTGGCCAGTCAAATATAGCCAAATCTGTGAGCTCCAGGTTCTGACCCTGTCTTTAAAAAAAAAAGAAGTGAAGGGGCTGGAGAGATAGCTCAGTGGTTAGGAGGACTTACGTTTTTTTACAGAAGACCTGAAAGACCTGAGTTTGTTTTCCAGCACCCACATGGTGGCTCACAATCATCTATAACTCCAGTTCCAGATCTGACTCTCTGGTCTCTGTGGGCCCCTGCATGCATGTGGTATCTATAAACTCATATAGGTACACTACATAAAATGAATCAATTTTTTCTTAAAAGGTGGACACAAGTGTGTGGGTCCCCCCACCAGGGCCACTGGCCACTGATCCAAGAGTACAAAGAGAGCAGAAGTGACGAACGGGGTTGGGATGGCCAATGAGCACGACAGAAAAGACTTTCCAGGGAGTCAGATTCAGTGATACAGCTCCATTTATTCAGTGGGGGTCAGGGAAAATATAGTGTGGAGGCAGCAGCCAAAGCTTCAGCTGATAGGTGCTCATAGTATGCTTTATTTACATGTGGTGGGGGATCCTATCATCTGACTATGGGACAATGCCTAATTATCATATAGAAAAAACCTGGGGGCAGTTTTATTGCAGGTAACTATGCCAAAGGTCATGTTCCAAATAAGGTCAGGCATCCATGCTTGGTGGCACTTTCCAGGTAAGTCAGGCAGAGAGCAGGAGGCCCTGGCTGAGAAAGGGAGTCCTTCCATATAGCGCCAAGCCCCTTAGAGCTATCCAGACATGGTGGACTGAAACCTTAGCAGCAGGGTCCCCCAACATGGAGAAGAGTCATCACAAACTTTAAGAGCCAACTCATCTATCTTGGGAGAATCCAAAGTTTGATAATTGACCATGACCTGATTGGTAGTAATTTTTTCAATGGTAGTAATTCATCGGTGAAGAAATTGTATGAAACAGGGAGCAAGCATCAAAATGACACACAGCATGATCAGGGGCTAACAAAGGGTAGGAGCCATAAAAACAAGGGGTTACTAAACCAACCTAATTGTTCAGTGGGTTGAAATCTTGAAAATATATTGTTAAGAAGTTTTTTGAGAGTATTAACATTGGTCTCGACAATATTTGATTCATTTACAAAAAAACAGGATTCCTCTCCCAATACTACATACGTCCATCCCCCCGCCCCCCGCCCTGTGTTCAGCAGTTATTAAGTCTAGTGCTCTTCTGTTTTGGAGCACAGCCCCAGGAAGAGAGTTCATTTGTCATTGGAAAGACTTAAGGCTGTCAGTCATGGATGCCATTGCCTGGTCAAGCTTGTCTCAAAAGTCTCCTCAAAAGGTGATGGATTTGTACAATAGCAGCAGTCACAGTGCCGAGAGGGCAAGTCCGAGCCCCACTAGCAGGGGGATGAAGATTTCTCCTCACTGGTGGGTGTGAAGGAGTAGGACGGCCTCTTCTTCCTCGAATAGGTACACCTGGGGAGTAATCATTACAGGTACACAAAAGGTGGACAAAGAGGAGTTAATACAGTGTTTGGCTTTTCCTTTGCACCATAGAAAAAGAGGAGGGATGACACATGCTGTCCTGGAGAGAGCAATGTTAGTGAGGCATTTGTAACGAGTAGGCTTAGTCTTACTGGAAATGCAAATTGGATAGGTAGCCAGTTGTTCAAATAAGGGACTATCCATCAGAAGAGAGTCAGTGAAATCTTTTGTTTCTGGGTAAAGAAGGGTGGTATTAACTGGTACTGCTGTCAGTAAAGGTCTATTGCTGGATGCACAAAAGAAACAGAGGTGTTAGGGTGGGTGGTGAAGGGAAGAAAGTTAGCAACATATTGAATGTATTGGCTCCAGGACATAGTTGATCTTATCTGGTCCTCTGTTTTTCCTGTAGAATAATATTATGATGAGTTAGCACGGACTTAGCTTCAGTACAAGCTGTCTAGAGATATGAAAGTCAGCTGTAGGGTAGCTACAGAATGCACCTGAGTAAAACTTTCCTGTCACTCCGACACACCAGCGATTGCCCCATGGATCTGCAACATATATTAGGGAATAGTCATGGTTCCCCCAGAGATACTTATTATCCTTTAGGTAGGGTCTTTCCTGTCCTATTATACCCTGATATCCCCCAGTTAATCCCAGTTCCAACCTACAGGGATTGAAATAGCAGCATTCCCCATAGGTATCAACTTCCTTGAAGCATGATGGATCTGCCTGTCAGAAAGGAAAGCAAACACATTAGTTAGTTTTGTATCTGTTAGCATTTGGGTATATTATTATTTCAATGGGTTTTTGACAGTCCACTAGGGAGCAGTCTGTGGTTCCAATTATTTGATTTTTTTCCTTGAAATGTTTCCCTGACATAAAATCTCCAGAGCATAGTATTGGGGGGGAGGGCTGGCCAAAGCATTGGTGCTAAGCAGGGTAAAAACGGCCATGAGAACAGCAGAGAAAAAATCTGGGGAGGGGGCATCTGTGACAAGCAGTCTCCACCAGATCATGGATTTCTTTCCATGTGATCCAGTGTGGTTTCAGTGTCGTTTCCTCCTCTTCCTTTTTTTTGTCTCCAACAGAGTCATGTGAGCCATCTTTTTTTGTGGGTGGGGAGGTACCCGACATTTCTGGCTGGAACCCAGATAGGCTTTGGTTGATCCTGTGGAAAAACACAAGCGTATCCTCTCCCTGTGGTTAGTAATGGATCTGGTCCTTTCCAGATTCCATCAGGGGGGGCGTCCCTCCATCTAACCTTGATGGGCAGTATGGGGTGTGTCTGGGCCCAGTGTCAGGCAATGGGGGGGGCATCTGAACCTCGATATACATTGAATACATTAAGGGTAAACAAGGCTAATGTTAATTGAATGTTGGGAGAATACCTTGTTTGAGCCTGTCTATGTAATTGATCTTTTAAGGTTTTACGTGACCTTTCCACAATGGCTTGTCCTTGTGGGTTATATGGGATGCCAGTGTGATGGGTGATTTTCCAGGCTTCACAAAATTTTTTAAACAGGAAGCTGGTAAATGCTGGGCCATTATCCATCTTTAGTTGTGCAGGGAGGCCCATGATGGCAAAGGATGAGAGCATGTGATTTATTAGATTTTTTGAACTTTCAACAGTTTGGGCAGTAGCCCAAAGGAAGTAGGAGTAAGTGTCTACAGTTACAAATACATATTTTTGTCTGCCGAATTGGGGGACATGGGTTACATCAACTTGCCAGAGGGCGTTAGATTTTAGCCCCCAGGGATTGGTGCCCATTTGTTGTATAACGGGGATATGTATCACTGATGCACAGGAAGAGCAGGTTTTAACAATGCATTTAAGTTGTCTGAGGGGAATGTGGGGGAATCTGAGATGGAGCCCACATAAATTAATGTGGGTGGCATGGTGGAGGTGCTGGGCATCTGTTATGCTGGTGGGGAATGTTCCAGCAGTGGCTACCTCATCTACTATGGCATTTCCTTCAGTAAGAGGACCTGGGAGGGAGGAGTGGGACCTGATATGCTGGACAAATAACGAAGCCACCCGTTTTTGTAGCAGTGTAGAAATTTTAATTAGCA